TATTTGTCCGTGAGCTCGTTGCCATGCGTTTCATTTCAGCCATTTTGTTTATCTTCGTGCTTTATTGGGGGAAACTTTTATTTTGTTTTTTAATGAGATTGTAATTTATTCTACGGTGGGTTTTTATATAGGTGACACAAAGAGCAAGATATATATGAAATGACAGCGAAGAGGCTTTTGTTTCGAAGGGAAGGAGGGGTACTTTGTTTTTTATTTCGTTTTATTTAACTTTCCAGCGGGATTGCCACAGCCTGGACCGGTACAGTTAAATGTACATACACATTTTCTCCGCACAGCATAATGTTAATCTTTATTTTTTTATTTTAACCCATTTATTTCTTTATTTGTTTGAAGATATCCAGGGATCTGTTTTTCCTCTCTCATGTTGGAACAGAATTTGTATTCTTGCTTTTTTTTTTTTTTTTTTTTTCATGGCATTGAGATGTTTTCCTCGGTAGCTTTAATGAATCGATCCAAGTTTAAATTCACGCTGTGGGACGTAGACCTGATCTGTAGCAACCCGACGCCGTTTCCTTCTGGTTTTGGTTGAATCGCCTGCTGTCCAACCTTTCCTTTTATTTTGATGTTTTGATGGGGGGTCTGGGTGGGGGGGGGGCTCTGTGGGCTCTGTCATATTCGCTGGATGAACTTGGGGTGAAGCAGAGGAGACAAATGCCTGTAGGTGTTCCATCACTTGACACATGAACAACGGACTTGCACATTTTTAAATAATGGGGTTGATATTAAACAGCTTTTTTCCAACGTCAAGGCTAAATGTATTTTTTTACCCAAACCAGAAAGATGATGAAGGTGATGATGATGATGATGATGATGCAGTGAGTTCACTGTCTGCTCTGCAGCTGTGGTGTAAAAAAAAAACAACAAGATAAAAATCTGTCTCTTGCTTTGAGCCCATTGGTCTGGACGGAATTAATGGGGGAGAGAAAATCAGGGTTGATGAATGGAAGATTATGAGCCGATGATGTGTTGTTTCTGCCCCGGGCTGATTTTAAATCGACTGGCTCTGGCTGAGAAAACCTCAGCTTCAATGTAAGGTTAAATTAGGGGTTCCCAAAGTAGGGTGCGAGGACCCACAGTGGTCCAAGGAGGGGCTGAACGTGGCCCAGCACTGAGAACTAATGGTCTGCTCACAGTAACGGAAACTAAAAAACCAGAAGCATAGAAATAATCTAAAACAGAGATCATTAAAACTATAAAGTTGAGGGTTTGTTTTCCTGTATTCTTACTTTAAGATGCAGAAAACAAACAAAAGTCTGATTTATTGCAGGTAATAAAACATGTGGTGATCATACCTTTTTTCATTTAATAGTTCCTTCATGTCAGTCTCAATCCAAAAATATAAACTGTCCTCAATAGCAAAACTTTAATGAGCACACCTCTTGACTTATCAGTGAGTCTACTAAACAAATTCTGATACAAATATAATCAATAAAATAAATAAAACAAGGGTTTTTTTCTTAAAGAATTTTAGTCAACTTCAGAAGATACACACTCGCTTTGGCTGTGAATCTCTCCACACAGAGTTTTGTAAATTACACAATTCACACTTTGAACGCATCGTGGATCATGAGATTTAAATAACAGCACCCTACTATTCAACAAAACCTATTGTATTCAGTTTAGTCCATAATATCCCCTCATCACTGCAGAAATGATCTGGATCAATAGATTTTAAAAAATGCCCTTAAGAGGAAAAATAAATGCACAATACTATTTCTACAGGGACTTATAGTGACAGCGATATTGACAGTGGTGACCGTGGTGGCATTTCCCCATTCTCCAGTGTCTCATTTCTCCATAATACTCCCAGAGGAACGTATGGTGTGAACGGATTCCATAGTTGATTTTATTTTGAAGCTGATGGCCATATTGCACAGTTGCTATTTCCTTTCCACCTCCTGCTTTGACTCAAACATATTTTTTTTAAAAACGTTTTGCCCTCTGTGGCTCTTATTAATTTCCATTCACCTCCGTTTCACTCCACAAGCGGCTGGCCTCTGTCCTGATGTTTGCAGCAGTGGTGAAGAAGATTTGCAGTGCACACTTCGGCATTGTTATTGATACAAGAGTAGGATCAATTGGGTAATAGCTGATTTCTCAGTGATGATCAATAAGCCTCATCATAAACCAGAACAAAAAGTAGGGTGCTCTTTTTTTTCATAAATCCATTGAACTGAGAGAATAAACACCACAGACTATTTTTGCTGGCTGTTGCAATGAATGATTTCCTGTAGGGACTTCATGTGTGATTATGTAAACATGTCTACTTGCAGAAGCTATTGACACTTTCTGTTTACTATGGACAAAACAATGACTTAAAAAGTCAAACATTTCTCTTGTGAAAAATGTAGGCCGGGCATAATATTCCCATAATACAAAGGATCTGAGCAGCCTATGTGGCTTCTTATTCAGAATGTGTAGTCAACAGTGACATGCATTTTTCCTCAGCCGACATTTTGACTTGAGGCCCAGATGTTCCTGAAAATTAACAATAACTCTGTTGTTAATGTTCAACAGTCCCACTCAGTAACGCATGGGTTTAAATAATGAAATGAATGTTTCATGTCAAAATGTCCCTATATGTTAAATTTGCCTCCATGTAGGGTGATAAGCTCAGCCGATGTTATCTCTCTTTAATGCACTATAGCGGCTCCACGTTGCAGCACAATACAACAGTGTCATTACCACTTGCTGTTATGTTGCTGATGCAGGGGAAATGAGACGCTGACCCTCTGTGCATCATCGTGACCGGTTGACCTGCCATTTGGACGCCTGGCATGAAATGACACCCTGACATAAAGGCCTCTCTCTGATCTGTGAAGTGAACCTTTGTGGAGCCCAGTAATCAAAAAATAAAAAGTGTGCCCTCCTGCCCTTCACCCACTCCGGCAGATGCAATTAATAGCGCATCGTGTTAATTACACCTTCCTTTTTATTTAGGTGACTTGAAATTTCCCATTAGGCTTCCAGGGAAGAAAAAAAAAAACCCCTCCACTGTTGTGGTGCTGAGGAGAAACAACAGAGAGGGGGGATAGTTGGTGCTCTAGCGCCATCTAGTGACACCATCACAACCCAAGGGTGAGTCCAAGCTGAAGTGTTAGTAGAAGCCTTCACAACAAGGTTAGCTGGTATTAAATGAATACAATATGATTATGATTAGACGACCAACACTACATGCAATCAATAGAAATCAAAGATCTTTGTAGCACTTACTCACACTTTCTCTAACTGTGTACAGATGACACAGTCCACTGTCAGTCCCTGTCAGACATATGGACATTTTGTTTTAGAAGAAAAAAAGTTTAATAGTTTTTACATTAATCTTTCTGACACAAATAGATCAGAAATTATCAAATGAGGTTCAAATAATCCTGAAGAAAAAGTACCCTTTCAACAATATTTGTCTCTTTTCAAATGAAATCACATAATATATCACATTACATAAAGAAAATTGTGTGTTTGCTTTTATGGACAAAAGCAGAATGTAAAACTCAAGAAATTCAACGTTACAATTAAAATAGTTATGAAATATTTTAAAAGATGAACAAATACAATGGATACTTAACTATAGGTTATTTAATCATTTGAGAAAATATCACAGTCTCACAATATCCACTTAATCGTGTTTTTGTTTGTTTGTCTGTTAGCAACATTACACAAACACCACTAAACAGATTACCATGTAACTTGGTAAAAGGATGTTGTATGAAACAGGAAAGAACCCATTACATTTTGGTGTGGATCCGTATGAGGGGACAAATCCAGGAATATTGGGGTTAGGGTTAGTTTTCACTTTCTTTGAGTGAAAACATTTTTGCACATTTCTAAAGAAATAATTTAAAGATCTTGAGGAAAAAATCTGGCATATTTAGAAAACTGTGTGTGTGAAAAGCTGAGGCTTGACTGAATTTAAGGAGTGTGTTTGAGGGGCCTTGGCGGAGGAATGCTCTACTGTGTGCCACTCTAGTTCCTCTAAGAAGTGATAGAGACGAGCAACACATTTTTGAATTTATTGTCCAACTCAAAATGTTTAATGGTTGGGAAGATTACAAATAAAACAATTCTAACTGATGGTTTCCCAATTCTCAAACCTGAGAATTTGCTGCTTTATTAATCATTAATACATTGTGTGAATTAATGGTCACATAAAACAAGCAGTGATAATGCAACATATGATGCCTGAG